TAAAGGTACTTCCAGAATCTTGCATGGCCATTTGGTTCACTCCCTTGGGACATATCACTTCTCCCCCTAAGAACTGGTAACTGGAAGGCCCACTTACTTAGGGATTTTACCTCCAATGCTATACTCTACCACGCTGTATGCAGGCATGGCAAAATAGGGTAAAGGATTCATATGGTGTCACCAACAGTCTTATCTTCCCACATCTTCCTAAACAGGCTCTTTATAATGTTAAATCATAAGATTTTGTCTACTGGAAAAGTCATCAAAGAAAAACTGCTTTTGAACCTCATTGTGAGGGATATTATCAGATACCAATAGCAAAAAATACAGCAGTGAAACTCCAGGGAATCAATCAATCAAACTCTAGGGAGTCAAGTTGTACTCATTTCACAACTAAGGAAGCAATTAAAAATTGAAACAAGTTAGCAACTCCAATAGAAAAGTACAGACTGGGGATTCTCCAGGGTATTCTACACATAGCTGATCTTCAGAACTACAGAGATAATTTAAGACCCTCAGAAAGAATTACCTGGAATAGTAGATAGCTTCTGCCCAAGATGTCAGACCAAGACCTCTATAGAAATTATGTTTTGTTTTTCATCTGTTTGCTTATGGTAATCTTCTTTTCATTGTCTATAGACCCCTGGTTATCATCCACCCACAATGGCCCTTTGTCTCTTTTCTTTCATTTTTGTTATACTTGTTAGTTAGGTCGGAACATACTCATTCTGATGCCATTCTTACATTATCCCAAACAATAATTACTACCCTCAATCTTACCAACATTGGTTATGCATCCATCACCAGACCACCATGATAAATACATCAGACAAATTCTAGTTTCACCAAATGAGTCTATAGGGAATTAGACAACAACTTTGGGAATTAGACAACAACTTTTTCACTTGCACCTACGGATGACTAAATAAACCCATCTGCAGTTTTACTAGTATCCTTCTCTCCCGGAAAAAGAACAAATTATGACAATCCGTTGATCTGACTCCAGGTAATTCTAAATTTAAATCCAATGAACTTCTTAGGGTGATGAGTTAGTTACTTACCACCTGGAAGAGACATTAATAGGAATCCCAATTTGTAATATAGTTCATGTAAGGCCTTTGTTCCAATTTTGAGCCATGAAACAACTCCCTTTTTTCTGGATTTCTATGTGCCCCTACCAGGTTCACTTCATTTGTAGTGTAGATGCAGGACATCTAGTCTTATTTTCCCCAGATTAAGGAATAGTATTTCAAGACTTTGTATTGAAATCCTAACTCTGTAAGTCACCAATGCTGGAAATTACAACTCAGGCAGGAGCTCCAAAATGAAATCATCCTTGCTTATCCAGGAATTCTACCCGAGGAATTGCTTACTTACTGTTTATGTGAACACAGCAGTGTTCCAATGGTGGGAAATAAAAAAACTGAAAAATACCTGTCACTAACTATGGCAGAAATTATTACTTCTTCCCTAGATGTAATAAAGATCCGTCTCAACTTACTGGCACAAGTAGTGATGAACAATTGCATTGCTAGGATTATTTGTTGGCTAATCATGATAGCATCTGTGTCCTTGCTATTACTTCTTTCTCTACTTGGATTAATGAAACAGACTTGGTAGAATAAGCTATATATTGCCTTAAAGCACTTCTTTACACAATGCTTCTGTACAGCTGCTCTTTTACCAGATGGTTGTCATAATGACACAACAACAAAAAGATCATGAGGATATTCTGGTACAGTTTACTACAAAGACAACTGAATAACCCCCAAGTGGTGAAGATCTGGATCTCTTGCTGTCCCTGAATTGGTCAATCTTTCTCAACAAAGAGAATGATTAAAAGGGAAGCCCTTGGCAGTCCTAGTGTTTACGACTTGTTTATTTGAATGATGGAATCGTTTTCATATTGATTTGTTTGAGGGTGTGTCGTTGTGTAATAAAGAACTTGGGCTGGCTTCAGTGGCTCATGCTTGCAATCCCAGCACTTTGGGAGGCCAGTGCTGGGATCAGATCATCTGAAGTTGGGAGTTCAAGATCAGCCTGACCAACATGAAGAAAACCCGTCTCTGCTAAAAATACAAAATTACCTGGGTGTGGTGGTGCATTCCTGTAATCCCAGCTACTTGGGAGGCTGCAGCAGAAGAATCACTCAAACCTGGGAGGTGGAGGTTGTGGTGAACTGAGATTGCACCATTGTACTCCAGCCTGGGCAACAAGAGTGAAACCCTGTCTCAAAAATATAAAATAGAACTTGGCGGGCCTTTGTCCTTGTTTCCTGGGAAATAACCTATAAATCATTGGAATTTCCTAAGTGATAGAAGTGCCTTGGGGGCCACATCTGACAGTTTATGCTAAAGAAGTGACCTACAGTTGGCTTCTACTTTATGCTAATGAGATAACAGGATGGCTGCTGGCCATGCCAGAAATACCAAGCATGTAATTACAGTTGGGGCTTTAAGCCATGTTATATCAGCCAAACCTCTAGGGATAGGAGTGGGAGCTGGTGACTGGGTTCTGTGGTGAATGATTCAATCATTCATGAATATGTAATGAAACCCCAATAAAAACTCTGGACACCAAAGCTCAGATGACCTTCCATGGTAAGCATTTCTCTGTGCATTTTTACACATCAATGTGCCAGCAGGGTAACATGCTGCTGAGGACACAGAAACTTTGCATTTGGGATACTCCCCATACTCTTCCCTATGTATCTCATGCTTGGGCTGGTTCTGATTTGTATCCTTTCTCTGTAATTGTCATCATAAACATAGTACTCTCCTGAATTCTGATATTCATTCTAAAAAGTTATCAACCTGCAGAGGTGGTTGGAATTCCTGAATTGTAGCCAACTGGTTGTAAGTGAAGGTATCCTGGGAACTCCCAAATTTGTGTCTGGTGTCTGAAGTGAGGGCAGACTTGTGAGCTACTGTGTCCTAACATAAAATTTGGCTTAACTCTGGGTAACTGGTATCAGAAGACAGAATACTGCTACAAAATAACACTGAATTTCTATGTAAGCACACACATTCTCTCTCTCTCTCTCTCTCTCTCTCTCTCTCTCTCTCTCTCTCTCACACACACACACACACACACACACACCCCAGCCTATTCCTAAAAGATGGAACAGTGCTAATCTATATTTGAATTTGAAAAATAACTACAGTAAGCAATATTATATTTTCTAAAGAAATATTTAATTGGTAGTTTTCTAGAAAGAAGTCTTTTCATCTAGTACAAAAACATGAAGTCAGACGGAAGTGCTGAGAAAACTGGGCAACACAAAAGAAGTATGAGATGTGATCTGAAGCAGCTGATAGTCTGTGTAAATCAAAAATAAAATTCTAAGCCCCACAACCAGCTGAATGGACTCTTCCTCTTGGCCAATGGCATTCTAAAGTAAACCTGAAACACTAGTTCAGGCCATGATGCTAATGGATGGTCAGACATACTTCATTATGCCTTCCTCTCTTTGGAATTCAGGCACAGTAGGCCAGCATTATATTAAAACAGAGACCTTAAGACTGATGAAAACAGGTTCTTTGCAGCAGTAAGATAATGTGACAGATAACAGGCCCTGAGAGAAATCTAAGTACTTTACCCAAAATAAATTTCTCTTAAGTCTGATAAGAAACATTTATAATCTATTCTTTCTGAAGCCTGTTACCCTCCAGCTTCATCTCATAGTAAGAACCTTGGTCTCCACAATACCTTATCTTAACCCAGACATTCCCTTCTATTGATTCCAGGTCTTTGAATAAACCAACTGCCAATCAGAAGATCTTTGAATCTACCTAACCTGGAAGGCCCTCCCTCTGTCTCTACCCCTTCCCCACCAGCTTCAAGTTGTCCTGCCTTTCTGTGTCAAACCAATGTAAATCTTACATGTATTGACTGTTGTCTTACATTCCCGTAAAATGTAAAAATGTATGAAATCAAGCTGTACCCTGACAGCACAACTGTCTCTTTCTCTCATGTATCCTTGCCATGTTAAACACTCATCAGTTTGAAGCCAGTGTCCTGCCCTCCAAAAATCCTTTGCACTGCCTATAAATCCTCACTCCCGTGTTTGGTATATAATGCCCTCTTCAGGGCTGCCCCAGCCTCCTGCTGCTCCTAACAAGAGCTACCTTGAGCACATGTTCTCAGGATCTCCTGGGACTGTGTCAGACTTGTTTCTTACCAGACTTAAAATAAATCTGTTTGGGGTAAAACACTTTGCTTTCTCTCAGGACTTTTTGTCATGTTTTTACTGCTACAAAGAGTCTGTTTTTGTCAGTCTTAAGGTCTCTGTTTTAATGCAAATGCTGGTCAACTGTGCCTACAGGTCACTCCTATTTGTCTCAGAAAAAAAATCTCTTCAAATATTTTATTTATCATTGGACTTTTTCTGTTGTCATCTGGTTCCAGAAATATGAAAGTGATAAAATGATTTTAAAAAAATACTTAAATAGATCAAGGCAGTGACAGGATTTACCAGAAGTCCAGATATCTTCCATTTTAAAAAAATATGCAAACTAAATATTTTTATATTGCAAACAATAAGATCAGACTTCATATCAGTTTTCAAGAGAACACCTCCCCAAGGAAGGGAAATTTACACAAGTTTCTGACTGATTATATAGGCTTTAGATAGGTGGAGAAAGTGCCCCAGGCTGATGGAACAGCTGAGGTAAAGGTTTACAGGCTGAAAAGTGGAGAGGCATGTCTGAGGGAAAGCAAGACAGAATTTGGGTGCAATGGAGGCTCCTGTCAGGAGCAGCAGGAGGTGGGGGCAGCCTAAAGAGGGCATTATATACCAAACACTAGGGTTAGTAGTTTTAGAACATTTTCATGACCCCAAAAAGATTTCTTGTAACATTTGCAGTTACTTTGTTTCTGAAGATCTGCCATTTCTGGACATTTCCTAAAATGATACTATAAAATATGTGGTATCTGGCATCTGCCATCTTTCACTTAGAATCATGTTTTTGAAATTTTGATCCTGTATAATACCCATAACCTAGCAATTTTAATGTTTAAACAAAGTTTCATTTCATTTCAAAAATTCCAAATCTATTAGCATAAAGATGCAATGAATACTGTTTTTTGCTCAATCCTAGACCACTCCATTGCTTCATAAAGAAAGGTAACATGTGTTACCGTAGAAGTGCATGGAGGTGTTGTACAGCAAAGGTTCAGTCTATTAATCTCCATACTACAGTTGTGAACCACAGGAAAGAGGCCCAGCCCAGTTAGAACAACAGGCCAAGGCATGTCGCTTTCTGAATATCAGTTTCATTCACTCTAAAATATGACTGGGCTAGATCATCGGTAGCTGTCTACCTTTCTCAGCCTCCATCCTCTGTACCCATGCATGACACCCTGCCCCATCAGTAACAGCATGAGGAGGCAATGCCCAAGTGTGGTTCTACGAATGGCCCCACCAGGCAGAAAATCATCAGACAAGGTGATTTCTCAGCTTCTTTTCAGCTCTAGTTTTATACATCCCAAGTTGGAAAGGAACTTTCCACAGATTCATCATGTTCCCAGGGTTTCTCTTTGAGGTGAAAACTGAGGCTTGAACTCTAATAGTGGGTTTTCCCAGTTTCACTAAATTTGAAGCATTGCTCTAGCACATGCTTCAAATTTAGTGAAACTAGGAAATTTTCTAATGTGCAAAAAAGTGGAACATCCACCAAAGCCTTTCCTACACTCATCACATTACCAGAGTTTCTAGTTAGTATGGAGAGTTCTTACGGGGTTTATAAAACAATGAGGTTTGGCTGAAGGCTCTCCCACATTGCCCACATTCAAAGGTTTTTCTCAAATATGAATTTTCTGATGCTTAATAAGGAATGAGCTCTGACTGAAGGCCTTCCTCTATTTTCTGCTTTCATAGGGCTTTTCTCTAGCATGTGTTCTTGATGCTTAGTAAAGGAATAAATACAATTGAAGATTTTACCATACGTACCACACTTGCAGAATTTCTCTCCAGTACAAGTTATCTGATTTTCTTAAAGAATCAACATGTAACTGAAGGCTTGCCATACTCACTGCATTAATAAGGGTAGTCCCCAGTGTCAGCTATCTGATGCTGTATAATGTGCATCCTCTGATCAAAGCCTTCCTGCATTCAATATACTCATGTTGTTTTTCACTAGTATGGATTCTCCCATGTGTGGTAAGAGAGGGGATATGGCTGAAGCCCACCCTCTCTTGACATTGATAGGATTTTCTTTAGTAATTAGTGCCTGATGTGGAACAAGATGTGGTCTTCTCATATACATGACACCTTTAGGATCTCTCTCTGATATGAATTCTCTTAAGTACTGGTGATGACTGCACTCCAGCTGAAAGCCCTTCTATATTCACTGAATTCATACGAGTTTTTTTCCAGCATGACTTCTCTGATGTTTAATAAGAGATGCAGTATGAGCAAAGACCCTTCCACACTCATTACATTTGTAGGGTTTCTCTCCAGTGTGAAATCTGTAATGCTGAGTGAGAGATGAACTCTGGCTGAAGGCTCTCCCACATTTATTACATTTGTAAGGTTTCTCTCCAGTATGAAATCTATAATGCACAATGAGTGATGAGCTCTGGCTGAAGGTTCTCCCACATTCCCTGCACTCATAGGGCTTTTCTCCGGTATGAGTCCTCTGATGCTTAATAAGGGATGAAGTGTGACCAAAGGCTCGTCCACATTCATTACATTTGTAGGGTTTCTCTCCAGTGTGAAATCTATAATGCAGAACAAGAGATGAACTCTGGCTGAAGGCTCTCCCACATTCACTGCATTCATAGGGCTTTTCTCCAGTATGAGTTCTTTGATGTTTAATAAGGGATGAAATATGACCAAAGGCTCTTCCACATTCACTACATTCATAGGGCTTTTCTCCAGTATGACATCGCTGATGGCGCCTAAGTTCTGACTGGAAGTAAAAGGACTTCCCACATTCATTACATTTACAAGATTTCTTCTCTGGATGGGTTCTCTGAGAGTTACTTCCCCCTGAAGTCTGTCCAAATTCTGTATCACATTTATAAGATCCTTCTCCCATCAAAACTCTGTGTTGGTTAACAAGGACTGATGTTAAACCTAAGCTTCTCCCAAATCCATTCCATTCATAATTTCTGCTAAGATTGGTAGCAAATTTGTGAGTGGTTGACATTCGTTTCAGGTGTATCTCCTGTTTTATCTGCTGCATCTCTACCTGGCCATCACAACCACAGGCTGCTTTCAGCTTCAAGAACTGCAGCTCATCTGGAATATGTTTTTCCACTGATGCTACCTGGAATAATTCTTTGGAAATTCCCTGACTTGGCATTGATTCCTTGGATTTAGACCTTCTCTCCCAGTCTGCTTTAAAAAAAAAAAAAAAAAAAAGACATTCTAGTAATACCTGTCCTATATGTCAAGAGAAAGTAAGCTCCTATAATGAATATTAAAAAATTAAGCTTTAAAGTAATACCTAAAGGGGATGTACAGCTTTTTTCAATAACTGCTTATGTCTGAAAATGGTTTTATATCAAGAACAAATGATGAGTAGATGACTTGAGATTAAGAAAATCGGAGAGATCTGTGTTTAGATTCCAGTACACAAGGTAAGTCTAAAGATTAATGATGACAGGAGGGTAGGAAGAGTGACAAGGGAAACAGACTAAGTTTAAGGGATGAGGACAAAAATCAATAAACCAAGTACAGGATTGTAAATCACCCAGGTATGGACTCTATATTCTCATAATTACTTCAGGCCTATATAATTGTAACAGACTTCTGCCCAGTCTTCCTATCTCCAGGTTTCCTGAAACCCTTCACTTTCTTCTTTCCAAATGCACATTTCCTTAAGTTTCTTCCCAGTCTTAATCTTCCAAAGGCTCTCCAGTGCCTTTGGAAAGCATTATTAAGGATAAATCCTTAATCTTTCCCTCTAGCTCTATGATACTTTACCATGTCTTGTCTTCTTTTTCAGGAAGTGCCTTTAGCACAGAAACTGGCTGCCTTCCTGTTTCCCATATATCCACAGCCCCTCTCACCACCCTCTTTCTTTAAGACTTTGCATACCTTTCAGGAACAAGCTCATGTCCTCCATGAAGTATTCCGTTAACACCTTTGTGCACATCCTATGTTATGTATTATGCACATATACATATAATATGTGTATATAATTATGACAGGAAGAGTAATTCTCCCCTAAAGATGTCCATGCTGTAACCCCCAGAACCTGTGAAAGAGTTAACCTTACATGGCAAAAAGGACTTTGCAGATGTAGTTAAGGGAACAGACCTCGAGATGGGAAGATTATCCTGGATTACATGTATTTAAATAGGTCAAATCTAATCATGAGTGCTTAAAATCAGAGAGCATTTCCTGGATGGGCAGAAAGATGTGTAAACCTTTGCTGGCTTTAAAGTTGGAAGAGGGGCACTTTCAGCCACATAATCTGGCAGTCTCTAGAAGCTGGGAACACCCATCTGTTTATTGCCAGCAAGAAAACAAGGACCTCGGTTTTACAACTGCAAGGTATTGGTCCTGCCAACAACCCAAATGAAAAGAAAAAAGGTGCCCGGACCCTCCAGAAAGATACACAGCACTGTGGACATCTTGGGTGGAACCATGTGATACACATGCCAGACTTCTGACCTAGGAACTATGACATAATGAGTTTGTGTTGTTTAAAGCCATCAAGTTTGTGCTACTCTGTTTCAGCCACAGTGGAAAATTAATACAATAATAACACACTTCAGAAGAAGGAAATCACTGCTGATGCCTAACCAGTGGTCCCAGAGGCCAGCCCTCAGAAAGATTCTGAGTCAATAGGTCTTATGTGGCTCCTGGGAACCTGAATGTTTAACAAGCTTCCTGGGACAGTCTGAAACATAGCCATGCTTATACACCACTGTTAAATAAACAGATTACTAGATCCAGAGGTCAGACCCTTGATCTCATTTTGGAAGGAAAGAAGATCAAGTAAGTACCAGTATAGAGGAAATAAGCATCTTCTCTCTCTGCCATAACCTAGGTTCCTATCATAAAGCCCAGCCTATCCTCTCAGGAATTTAGCACCACTTTCTTGAGCTTCAACTCTAGCCAAGGGGTAAGATTCTGGCTCATGGAAATGAACTGGCATAGACTGCCACATGCCTCCAGTGTGCTTGGTTAACACATGGCAGTCAGGAGAGCTTTGAGTCAAGAATTCTGCTCCAAGGCATATAGCCTACCAGGTACTCTCAAGTCACCTAAGAATCAAAGGTCTCAAAGGGATGGTGTCAACAGCTGTCAAGGAGGAGTCTTTGTTCCTGGAACCACTTTTGCTGAAGTTCAGCTTAATCAAGCTGAAGTGTCCTTACCTGGATCTTCCTGACATCCTCTGTCTGTCCTTGCCTGTAACCCCTTCATTTCTGGGGTGCTCAACTGCTGTTTAATCCCTCACTAACTCCCTTAATTCTGCTGATCCAGGATTACCTGGCCCTATATGATTGTTGATCCATCTAACACTGACTGTGAGACATCTAGTGATGCTGCATAGCACCAATAACCCAGAAGGCATGGGCAGAGATGGGTACCAAACAAAGGATAAAAACTAGAAAAGAAAATGAACATCTCCTCTTCAGACACCAGAAGTAACTACAAAATACAACACACCAGAGTTGAAGTCTCCTGCCAAGTGATCTCATCTTCTGAAAGGACAGCTCCCTGATCAAAAGCTCAGGGCTACCTCCCACCCCAGCTGGGTCTTATCATATGCAATGCCCTCAGCTCACTCACTCACTCACCTGAGTGGGCTCCTATTGAGATTTCTCTCCTCACCATGAAGCACTCGCCCCCTTCCTCCAACTGGCAGATCACATATGGTTTCGATACCAGAAGGCCTGACGGTAGAGAAAGAAAAGGATTTTGGCTGTGTGTGCCGGTGGCCAAATCTTTGGATATTCATCTTCAGAAATGCTGTAGATACGGAAAGCCTCCGGAGAATAGGGATTGTGAAAAGTCAGGAACACAGCCAGGTAACTTCCTATTTCAACTCCATATATAGCAGGACGTTTCCTAGAACTAGGAACAGAAACACCATATCACTGGGCCCCAAAGAGAATGTAAATGTCTGATTCCAGGCTTCCCAAGGAAACCCAACGTAAAACTCAGCCGGCTGGCCCAGATACCGCTAGCTCTTAAACACCACAGAAATCAAGAAGTCCTGCTGGGAAGGCTTGGGGCTTTGGAGTCCTTGTGCTCACCCAGGAGGGTCAGGTTCCTGAAGTTCTCCAGCATCACCTCCCTGTAGAGGTCCTTCTGAGCAGGGTTCAGCTGCCCCCATTCCCACTGGGTGAATTCCACTGCCACATCCTCAAATGTCATCAGGTCCTGAAACACAGAAGACACTCTGGTACCCTGAAGGAGCACCCTCATGGCCCTCAGGAGAAGAGCAGGCAGGTATCTAAGGAGAACCTCAGGATGCACAGGAAGGGATTCTGAGTGCCCAGCAACTATCCCAGTGCCCACAGAGTTGTGGGTTTTGTTATTTCAAAAATATTTTAAGCTGCTCCAGGGATTGTATCATCCTCACTACCTGGTATCCCACCCAGTGTCCACTTGCATGCCTATCAATGTGAAACTGCTAGGATATATAATCATGGTCTCAGGTGAATCACGCCTATGGAGACGTTCTTCTTAGGTGGTGGTAAGCATAATATATTTCCTCATTTGTCAAAAGGTTTTATTCTCAATCTAGTTACATTTACTTGGAATCCATTAGAATTAACAGATGAATATGTTTTACATTCTCAAATGCACAAGGATCAACAGTCTTCTAATAAAGTATTATTGAAACTTGTAACCTATGATTTTAGCAACAATTAGGCCAATTCAAGTAATCTGGGGTTTATGAAAATTTATCCCCCACCTGCCTGCCAGCACACAGTTCAGCAAAAGTAAATCAAGTGGCTTTATGATGAAACACTAAGTTTTGTGAGTTTGACTAGCATGATCCTTTCCCTCAAAGCCTAATCATTATTCAGTTCCTAAGTTTATAAAGCTGAGCGTGAGACCCTGGATCTCAGGTCACTATTATAAGGCATAATCATTCTATCCTGGCCAGACTATCCTGTCACCTTCAATCTCAGTAATTAGAACACCTCCCATTTGGCTTATATTGTATGACAATGCACTAAAAAGCAGAATAGGTGAAACTACTATAAATTCCTGTTACTGTTACACCAAAGTATTTAAAAATCAAATCCCATTTAGATACAGATTACATAGAAAAGCTGAAATAACAATTTTATAATATAAAAATCATCCAAAAAAATCAAACATGAAAAATTATAGTGACATCTTGTGATAGGTTATTTGTCCAAAATATCCACTGGCCCTCCCTAAAGAATTAAGCTTCTGCCCAGGTAAGTCTATGTCATCTGCTTTTTCAAATTGAATGTGAAAGACATGAACTACAGGTGAGCAAAAGCCTTCAGAGCCAGTGGGGGTTCTGCAATTGTCCTATTCTGTCTGCCTTGAGAAGGGCAAACAATCTGAGTGAAGATGTGGGCAAAGCCACAGCTGTCATGTAACACAGGCAAGAGGGAATCTTTCATGGTATAAGTCTCGGAGAGTTTGCTGTTGTTATCATGGCATAACTAGCCTACACTGACTCATTAAAAAACTGGTACTCAAAGTGGAGTTCTGCCATAACAAAAAGCCAAAACTAGATGACACTGTCTTCCAGGACAGGCAGTAAGGAAACTTACTGGCAAGGTGGCAACCCATGTAATTTGGTGGTGAACTGTTTGATGAAACTATTGCCTTCAGTAACTTGAAAGATGAACAATGAAAGCATGAGCTTCTAATGTTATGAGAAGAGGCTGGAAGCATAACATTAGTAGTGTCAGTTGGCTGTTATTGGCTGCATTTGACAAAATATTACAAGAAAAAATGAGCTTAAGCGTTTGTGGTTTACAAAACAAAAATGGAAGGCGACAGGAAATGTACAGAAATGCTAGGACTTGCAGGGTTGGAAACAACCAATTCTCATTTCCAACTGGCCAAAGACAATATACACAAGCTTCTGCATGACAGCAGCTAATTAAAACTCAGCCCATTATCAGGGACCAGATCATGGATATGGTTGTCAAACCTTTTGTTTAAACCTCTGAGTAATTTCAAAAAGCTCCCAGTAAATCTCCCAGTAATTTCAAAAGGCTCCCAGTAAATTGTTCAGAGTGAAAAAAGTATGGGCTTCCCAAGGAAATCCAAAAAGCACCAAAATTAAGGCTAATGAAAGAGGCATATTTCAGAAAGAATTGTGGCTCAAACCACTGATGCATGGAGCCATCTGGAAGCAAATACATAAAAAGTTGATTAAGTTTTTGAGAGTTGCACTGAAAACAATCCTGGGTTACCAACCTACTCCAGCAGGATGAAAAAGCTGCTTTGCCCCCAAGAAATCTTATTCTCCAGTATCATCTTCACACGCCACCAAGAAGGTATCAAAAGAAAGGAACTTCCCAAGGGCAAAGCTAACAGTCAAGGAAACACTAGGTTGGAGAGCTCCACCTAGGGAGCAGAACCAGGGCATAATCTAGAGACTTCCCAACTCCCAAGATCAAGGGTCCTCACAGTGTCTGTCCAGTAGAATTTCCTGACTGTTGGTGGGACCTGGGACTGGCTCCTCTCATGCTTCTCCTTTCTGCAAAGAAGTGTTTGCCATGGCATCCTAACCCCATTGCTCAATGTATGTTGGACATATGGATTCAGGTAATTGTCCTTTTAGTTTATAGGTCTCCAGACCCACAGGATCTCCATCCAGACTATTGCGCCATCCAGAACTTTGATCATGATGCTCTGACTGGATGGGGCTCTTGGGTTAATTCTCATGGGGGGCATTTTGTCTGCAAGAGAGAGGGAAGTGAACATCTACAGATAAGAAAATCACAGTGATAGATGAATTATTTGCTTAACATAATCCCTGCCCTCCCATTTGGGACCCTTACTCTAGGAGGCTGATAATTCCCACTTCATTAACATTAGGCTTTGCCATGGGACCTGCATCAGCCAGTGGGTTGTAAGGAGAAGCCACACATGCCGCTTCTGAGTTGAAGCCCAAAGAGCCATCCCCTGGTTCTGACACTGCTCTTTCCCTCTAATACAAGAACAGCATACCCCAGAGGGGACTGACCTTTCAGCCTGAAACCCAGAGAGAAGAGGGTATGGAGCAGAGTCACAGTCAGCCTGCTACTAATAAAGGCAGAAGAAAGAAGAAAGACACTCTTTCTAATGGGAAACCATTGAGATGTGGGGCTGTTATTACCACACTGAACCCTCCTGAATGATGTACGTCAGGGCCAAAAAGATTTAAACGCTATTTACGACTCTACTGATTACTTGGAAGAATTCCTTACTGGAGGGGATTCCCTTCCTTTTGGCTTGAAAGTTAAATATCAGCGTCTATCATCAAGCCTGAATCCTGCACCCATCCTGGAGGGCAGGAAACACTGCAGGCTGCCATTTGCAGCCCTCCACATCCAGCTCATTAAAGCCAAATCCGAATCCCCCTTGAGGGCCAGTCACCATGATCCCTGATGCCCATAAGGATTAGGCAGTTACCATTTTCCAGCGGACTCTAACAACCATATGAGGCGGTTGTATGACTGTATCATTAAGATCTCAGAGCTAGACAGCCTGGATGTGAAACTGGGGTCCCTTCCTCACTACCTAGATAACCACAAAAAAGTTACTTTCTCTCTGTGTGCCTTGATTTCTTCAGTTTACCTCTCCATGTTTTGGTTACTATTCTTCAAACTGGTAACCATTTTACAGGAATGTTTTAGAGATAAAATGAATTAGTATATGTAAATTGTAGAGAATAGTTCCTGATACAGGTTTTGTTCTCTGTAAATGATAATTATTTTCATCATCATTAAAATTACTATAGTCTTCATGTTACAGGTGGGAAACCAATGCGCAGAGAGGTTAAGTGACTGGTCCAAGGCCACACAGCCTGTAAATAGTAAAATGTATCTCCTCCCTAATCCAGGGAGATAACATCTGAACAGGGATCCAGCCTAAAATGGCCTGCCCACCTGTCCATACCTTCAGAACCCTCTTGTCCCCAATTCTCCACAAGCTTTCCCAACCTCTTCAGAATAGGCTGATTCTCCTTTTCGTAAACCCTAATGGAAAGGCCTGTCTGTGCCACTCCATTTGCCATCAAGCCATGCACATCCTGTTACTAGTGGCTGCCGCTTGGGTGTCAGGGTCCTCTCCCAATGTGGGTGTGACACTCCTTCAAGGCCAGGGCTGTCATATTACCTGGTGGTCACCACAGTGCCATTTCAATAAATATGCCAGAGTATGCCCAAACAATCCCAGTGGGTGCACAGCAAGAAAAGAAAACCCCGGGCAGGGGTGGGGAGCCATTATTCACTTAGATAGGCTCAGCCTCCTGAAGAAATGGCATTGGGTCAGTTCCCTTAGTGAACAAAGAGGCTACTTTTTGGTGAAAAGCAGGCAAAGCTAACCACGGTTCAGCCATTTGAGGAAAAATTAAGAATACAACTCACCTGAGGCCTGGCTTTCAGGAATGAATTCGTTGTTCCCTTTTCTCCCAGGAATCTCTCTGGAGGAAGAGCAGGGTCCTGAGAAGAGGAAGCTGGGGAAGTAGAAGGAGCCATATGGGAAGCTGACCCTGCTGGCACACACAGCTCTCAGACTCCCGAAACCTGACACCCTGCACAGCTCTGCATGTCACCTCCGTGGTCCTGAGGACACCAGTGGGTCAAAGGGAGCTGAGAGGTACCTTCTAGCCTTCAAATATTGAGAGAAGTGCCCGTGTACACAGGCCCACTTCAGTCTACAGGTGGGTGAAGTGTGACCAGTCTCGTAACACCACTGAAGTTATTTGCTGGGCATACTGTATGCAGGTAGGTCTTCTCCTAAGACTTTTGGAAATACAAATATGGAAAATACCTTAAAGGTACTTTAAATCTAGCCTACAGGTTAACAACTACACAAAAAGCCTCAAGGCAAGGCCATAGGGGATTATGAGGCTTTAAGGGGAGGAAGCTACACCTCTCCCCAGCTTAGAGGTCAGCTCTTCCTGACAAGCTGCCCCTGGTGTTTCCAAGTGCTGTTAGGTCTCTGCAGCACACTTGAGAGCTCCTCCGTGATAAAGCTTTGTATCATACTGTTTGTAAAGCCTTAAAACAAGCCAAAAAGACTAACCCAAATCATGCCAGAGAAGTAGTTAAGGCTAATAAACGTGGATGTAAGCAGGCAGCATAGCACAGTTCGGCACTCCTTCAGCTTCATGTGCATGTGGATCCCTGAGGATCTTGTTGAACTCTGGCTCAAGACTTGCTAAGACCCTGGTTGAGGGGGATGTGGGGCCCAAGAATCTGCAATTCTAGAGAGCTTCTGGCCAATGCCTCTGCTGGTCCCCGAGCCACACTGATTAGCAAGGGTATAAAAGAAAAAAGAAGGGGTGGGAGGCCCGGTTTTTTCCAAGGGCTAGTTTTGTGTCCTTGAGCAAGTGCACTGAAGGATGAACAGTCAGATTAAAACGCCCACCTGGTGAAGGACTAGGACGTTCTAAACTTAGGAATGGCTTAAAACCTCCTGGGTCACCTGGATTGCTCTGCCCCAACACTACTGGGGGAAGGGGCTCACAGGAGGTGCCCACCATGTACACTGCTGACGTTGTACATTGCTGAGCCAGAAGGGCTGGAAGAACCTTATTACTGAGGTGATTAAGAAAGTGGATGACAAGGCTCCAAATGGCCCTACTGTTCTCTGATCCCTGGCCAAGGGCCACTCCCTCAGGTTTGCTTGCTCTCTCCTTGCCGCAGCAGGAAGAGATCAGATCCCCTCCTGCGCTCCTCTCCCTCCTCTGGCCATTGGGGCAATTTTCTGTGGCCATCCCCTCCACCTCTGCGACGGTCATCTAAAGATCCCTGCCAGACCCAGGAGACTGCTGCTTCAGCCTCCTGGGTCTGGAACGTTAGATATCGCCACAGGGCAGTACAGCCTTCTTCCTCAGCGGGATTCCTCGGCCTCTTCCTAGCTAGGGTCCTCCTGATATCCGCCCGGTACTAGCTCCCCAGTAGGGCTCTTGGCCCTCGGCACGCTCCAGAGCCAAACCTGATGCTGTGGAGTCCATAGCTGGGGCTAAGGAGCGGTGTCCTTTCACTAGGTCCAAATCTCTGTCTTTCGTTCACAGCCCTGTGGTCCTCCCGAGGGTTCAGGTAGCGGGGCGCAGGCTGGAGCCGCCTGCCGGGGCCACGGGGCATCCCCACTAGGCGTGGCAGGGCCAGCAGACATGCTGGGCCGGCAAACGCGGTGCTCCGGGAGCGGCGCGCTGCTGCCCGGGGCCGTGCTCTTGCCCTGGAAGGAACCCCGGCCTCCTCCCCACGGCTCGGCGCTGCCGCTCTTCTCCTCAGGACGAGGCTCTGGAACCCAGCTCCACGTGGATCCACACACGCAGCGAGTTCAGACCACCAGGAGACGCGGCCACAGCCACGCCCGCGACGCTTGGGGCCCAGCGCTCCTCAGCTGCCCGGAGACAGCAGGTATTCGGTGAGAGCCTCACAGGGGCAGGGATTGGGCCTGCCAACTTGGCTCGCCCCGCTGCCCCGCCCAACTCCGGCCTGCATAGTCTCTAGCGAGGGGGCACCCGGAGGGACACGTCCAGCTCTGTAACGCACCGGGACGAGGGCGCAGCGCAGATGTGCGCGCCCGCAATCTCCGAACCTTCAAGTGCCAAGCCCTACTCCGCGCCAACCCCGCCTCCCGAGGCCGTCCCGAGCTTGCGCAGACGCGGCCGCCGCCGGAACCCTGCAAAGGTAGCGCCGGGGACTCGGCAGCGACGCCAGAGAGGCGGGGCTCGCGGGTGCCTGTACCACCTCCACTAGGAGGGACCATGCGCTCCTGCCAAGTGCGAGATTTCACCAAGCTGTACCCCAGGGGTGAGGACCCGGAAGCATTTCCCCTCTTGCGCTGAGCTCCATCTCTCTCTCTCTCTCTCTCTCTCTCTCTCTCTCACTCTCTCTCTCTCTCTTTTTTTTTTTTTTTCTCTGAGATAGTCTGTTGCCCAGGTTGGAGTGCGGTAGTGCGATCTCGGCTCACTGCAACATCCACGTCTTAGGTACAAGCAATTCTCGGGTCTCAGCCTCCCTGGTAGGTGGAATTACAGGTGCCCACCACCACGCCCAGCTAATTTTTTGTATTTTTAGTGGAGACGGGGTTTCACTATGTTAGCCAGGCTGCTCTCGAACTCCTGCCCTTAGATGGTCTGCCTGCCTCGGCCTCCAAAAGTGTTGCGATTACAGTCGTGAGCCACTGTACCCTGGCCGCGTATCTCGATGTAGGGCTGTCCAACAGAAGCCGCGGCCCTACCCTGGATCTGCCCAGTGAGGATTTCCAGGAGGCTCTCCCAGCATGCCTAGGAGATACTGGGTGCTCAGTGCTAGATACCCCTTCTACAGGCTGCCCTGTGCCTCTTACCTTTCTAAAACTTCCCCTGAATTCAGCAAAGGGTGATGGAGAACAAGAGAGGACTTCCGACGCCCAAATATCATTTAGGACCCAAAAGAAATGAAGAAACGGTCTGCTATGGTCTGAATGTATACGTCCCCCTCAAATTCATATGTTGAAACCTAACTCCCAAGGTGATGATATTAAGAGGTGGAGCCTTTAGAAAACTCTGCCCTCATGAATGATAGTGCCCTCTAAAAACAGGCCTCAGACAGTGGTTCACACCTGTAATTCCAGCACTTTGGGAGGCTGAGGAGGGCAGATCACTTGAGGTCAGGAGTTGGAGATCATCCTGGCCAACATGGTGAAACCCTGTCTCGACTAAAAATACAAAAAATTAGCCAGGAGTGGTGGCAAGCGCCTATAGTCCCGGCTACTTGGGAGGCTGCATCAGAAGAATTGCTTGAACCCAGGAGTACAGGTTGCAGTGAGCTGAGATTGCACCACTGCACTCCAGCCCGGGCAACAGAGCGAAACTCTGCCTCAAATAATAATAATAATAATAATAATAATAATAAATAAAAATAAAAACGGGCCTTAGCCCCCTTTGCCCTTTATGCCATGTGAGGACACAGAACGTGACATCTATGAGAAAGGCATCTCACCAGCCCCTGAATCAGCTGTCATGTTGATACTGGATTTCCCAGCCTCCAGAACTGTGAGCAACAAATTTGTATTGTTTACAAATTACCCAGTTTAAGATACTCTGTTATAGCAGCACTAATACCTAAGACACAGTCCGAGTATTAAAAGGGTGGTTTTCTGGAGGCAGTCCTTAGCCAGAGAAGGGCAACTTGTGTGGACAGAGAGATTGGTTTATCAACCATATTTAGGAGTTCAGGACAAAATAACTTACAAAATCAAAGCAAAGAGGCCATTCTCCTTCCCTGCTTTTTACAGTCTCTGTTTCACTTTTCTGCCAGAACTTCTGGTGGCAGGTAAACCCTCTTCCATGCAGGGGGACACTGTCTTGGAACCATGGCTTGTACAGGAGCTTTTCCATCTTCAGTTCTCTGAACCAAAAAGGTGAAGGGATGCATAAATGAGAAAAGATTTTCATCTCATTGATGGCTCAACAAAACTAGAGATGGAACTACTTCAGATGAATTTGAGGGGCACCATCTTTCCCTGATCCCATCCTGTGGGCCTGCTGCAAGTGTCTGAAATTCCCCACTCTTACATTCTGTCCTTTGGGACAGATCTTGATCCAGAGGTCCTTTACAATGCACATTTATTACCCAGGAATATTTTCTCTCCTGCTCAGTGCTCTTGTGCGCCATTTGATCTCAAAGCACTGTTGGTGGAGCTCGTCCTCATGAACCTATAGGCTCTCCATCACTTTCAACATTCCTTTTATTGCTCCTTTGCAGTCAGATGCCTCTTCCACCTCAACCCGTGACCGCTGCTCTGTTACCTGTCCCTGTAGTCCCTATAGTAATGCCTTTTTCCTGAATGTCACATAAATAAAATCATACAGTTTTTAACCTTTTAAGACTGGATTCTTTCACTCAGTGTTAAAAGCCCTTGAGAACCATCCAAGTTGTCATGTGTATCAACACTCCTTCTTATTCCAAGCCAGCTGTCTTTAAGGAAGGTTGTTAGAAGGTGCTATACAACCCATTCACTTACCTCCCATTTACCAAAACAGTCACATCTAGCTGCAGAGAAATGTAGTTTTGTTTTGTTTTGAGACAGGGTCTTGTTCTGTCACCCAAGCTGGAATGCAGTGGTGCAGTCATGGCTAACTGAAGTCTCAAATTCCTAAGCTCAAGCAGTCCTGTGCCTCAGCCTTCTGTAGCTGGGACTACAGGTGTGCACCACCATGCCCAGTTAATTTTTTTTTTGAGACAGGGTCTTGCTGTCACCTAGATTGGAGTGCAGTGGCAGGAACACTGGCTCACTGCAGTCTTGACTTCCAGGGTTCAAGCAATCCTCCTGTCTCACCCTTCTGATTAGCTGGGACTGCAAGCATTTACCACCATGCCCAGCTAATTTTTTTTTTTAATTTTGTAAAGACAGGGTCTCATTATATTGCTCAGGCTTGTCTTGAACTCTTGGGCTCAAGAAATCCCTCCACCTTGGCCTCCCTGTTGGGATTACAGGCATGAGCCACCATGCCCCACCTCTAATTTTTAAATTTTTCCTTCATAGAGACAGGGTCTCACTATGTTGCCTGGGCTTGTCTTGAACTTTTGGCCTCAAGCAATCCTCCCACCTCAGTCTCCCAAAGTGCTGGGATTATAGGCATGAGCCACTGCACCTGGCCTAGAAATGTAGTGTTTATTCTTGTGCCTCACTAAAAATCTATTACCATGGAAGATGGAAAGAAAGAAAGGATTAATCATATTTTAAGAACAATATTGATAAACCAGTTCATCTACAGGAAAAGCAAACAGTAAGAGCATCTCTCTAAATCACACTACCCTGAAGAAGATGGCTGATCCTAATCTAAAGAGCTAAAGAAGCTTTAAGAACTAATTAGAAGAAAGAAAAATGTTGATGACTGGCTGGTGCTTTTGTAAGGCAGAACTGAAGTGCAGAGAGTTCTAGACATCCTCTGTGTGCTTTGGCAAACAGAGCTTCCTTAACTAACATGGGATGGTAGAGGACCATCATTCACACCCTCTAAGGACCTCATGATAAAAATAGTAACTGTCTCACAAATAGCGCTTAGATATATACAGTCATCTCTGGTGGACTAAAGATGCCTAATGGTAGCCAATTTGCACAAAGATATTAAACTAAAACACAGAGGTGAATAGCTAGTCTGCTCTGGAATCAGACCTAAGTATCAGAAGAAACAACATTTTCAGATACAGTGTGAGATTGTGCCTGATTATGTCTCTTCCATCTCAACCACCCAGCTTCCAGATGACACACATGCACCTCAGGAATAAGAGCTGGTAGTGTAGTATAAAACAAAGAATATTACCGCTAAGTAACCAAATCCTTTGCTAGGAGATCAGCCATGTCCTCCCTCATAGACCAAGTGGTAAAACTGAAAATACTTATCACTAAGAACCCATGCCATTCTATGAAAGTACCACATCTAAAAACACCACCTGCTTTTAGACACTTTCTTCAGAGAAAGAGATGAGGGAAGTTGGAGAGCTGGTTAGTGAGTACCAAGTAGCAACAGCAAAGAGAAAGATGCTCTGAGAGTGAAGGTCAAAGGGTAGCCAGGAAGATGAGTCCTGGAACTGCAAAATGCATCCAGGAAGGAGTAGAGCTGGCTGGAAGAAGCAACCTACAGCATCTCAGGCAGCAATTCAGGAGGTGAAAACAAAGGCAAAACAATGAAGCACAGCAAAAGTCCCCACTGAAATACAGACACTGAAAAGCTACCAGCAGAATCTCTCATTACAACTGATCCTTCTCTTCTACATTCCACTCCCCTGCACCTCACTTCTTTCCCAGAGAAACTTTTATAAAAGAGGAAGGCTGAAATTCTACAGGGAAGTCTTTTTTTTTTTTTTAATGGCCACAAATTATTTGACATAGTCAGCCCTCCATATCTTCAGGTTCCACATCTGAGGACTCAACCAACTACACATCAAAAATATTTGAAAAAAAATAGAAATGCAATAATAAAAATTAATATTAAAAAACAGTGAAGTATAGCAATGATTTACATAGTATATACATTGTGTTAAATATTATAAGTAATCTAGAGATGATTTAAAGTATACTGCAGGATACGTGTAGGTTATATGCAAATACCATGCCATTTTATATCAGGGTTTTGAGCATCCATGGATTTGCAAGGGGTTCTGGAACCAATCCCCCAAGAGCATCAAGGGACAATTGTACTTCCCTCTGAGAGGTGGGCTCTATGGTGCCTCCTGTTGGACTTGGGTAGGCTAAGGACTACTTTAACCAATAGAGTATAGCAGAAGTGACACTACTGATTTTTGTGTTAGGTCATAAAGGGCCATGAAGTGGCTGGGCACAGTGGCTCATGCCTGTAATCCCAGCACTTTGGGAGACCGAGGCAGGCAGATTACCTGAAGTCAGGAATTGAAGACCAGCCTGACCAACATGGAGAAATTAGCCGGGAAGGCGGCACATGCCTGTAGTCCCAGCTACTCGGGAGGCTGAGGCAGGAGAATTGCTTGAATTTGGGAGGCAGAGGTTGCAGTGCAGCTGAGATTGCACCATTGCACTCCAGCCTGGGCAACAGCTTTTTTTTTTTTTAAACTGTCTTTTAAAAAAAATAGGCCATGAAGCTTCTATCTTGTTCACTGGAACACTCTTGGAGCCCTGAAATGAGGTGTAAGAAGCCTGGTTGTCCCAAGGCCACCATGTTGTGAAGAAATCCAAGCAGAAAGAGAGGCTACATGTGGGGACTCTGGCCAACAGTCTCAGCTGAGCTTAGCCATGGGTGCCAATCTGGGTGCCAGATACAGTCTTCCCAATTGAGGATCCAGAAATAGGGAACCAGAAATGAGCTGTGTTAGGTCATTTTGCACTGCTATAAAGAAATACCTGAGACTGGGTAATTTATAAAGAAAAGAGGTTTAATGGATTAATCTTGGTTCTGCAGGCTGTATAGGAAGCAAGGCACTGCCATCTACTTGGCTACTGGGGAGGCCTCTTAGGGAGCTTTCACTCACTGTGGAAGGTGAAGTAGGAGCTTGCACTTTGCATGGCGAAAGCAGAAACAAAAGAGAGTTGGGGGGATGGGGGCGGGAAGGTGCCACACATGTAAACAACCAGATCTCAGGAGTACTCAGTCACTATTGCAAGGACAGCACCAAGCCATGAGGGATCTGCCCCCATCACCCAAATACCTCCCATCAGGCTCCATCTCCAACACTGGGGATTACATCTCAACATGAGATTTGGAGGGGACATTCAGATCACATCCCTGTGTGCTTATCCCTGTTGTACCCATCCAAGTTCCTGACCCACAGAATGTGCTGGCCTAATAAAATTGTTGTTTTAAGCCACTAAGTTTGGAGTGGTGTGTTAAATATTAGATGGCCATAACATCCTGCAATTTGACAGAGCCTACAAGCTCGTGGGCCTAAGAGATAACTGTTTTACTCTAAACAAGATGGATGTATGTCACTTCTTGGCTGTTTAACTTCCATCTGCTAATGCTTTTGAGAAAATCAGTTAAAATTATCTTAATCTTCCCAGTAACATGGCAGATTAGATGGCCTAAACAGCCCTCTTAATAAAAAAAACTAAAAATGCTGAAAAATTGTAAACATCTTTATAAACACACTGGTAAGCCCGCATGAAAATGAGGAATTTGTAAAGATTTTAAAAAATAAAGTGAAATGGGCCAGGGCCAGTGGCTCAGGCCTATAATGCTTGCACTCTGGGAGGCTGAAGAAGGTGAATTGCTTGAGCCTAAGACTTTGAGACCAGCCTGGGCAGCATGGTGAAACCCCATCTCTATCAAAAACAATACAAAACTTAGCCAGGCGTGGTGGTGCATGCCTGTAGTCCCAGCTACTCGAGGCTGAGATGGGAAGACTATGTGAGCCCAGGAGGTGGAGGTTCCAGTGGCTGAGAGCAGGCCACCGCATTACTACAGCCTGGCTGACAGAGCCAGAGCCTGTCTCAAAAAATAAATGAAATGAGAGCTAGAATTCTGAGAATTGAGCAACAAACCTGACTTTTAGACTGCTAAATCCTAGAGAACATAAACTTACACTTTGGCAGCTACCCAGAAGCAGTAAAGACAAAGCCTAGGGCCTGCCAGTGGGTGGGGAATATTCTCCAAGGAAACACTTTCAGGATCTGTTTCCACCCTCAGTATAAGGCTAAATAAATAATAAAAACCACCATGCAGAAGCAAATAAAAAAAAAATATTTCTCTTCTGGATGTTGTGACTTTAATCAAGCTCTAATCTTCTAGAAGTCCAAACCCCTTAGTATGACACAAAGTCAGCCACAACCTGGCCTCAAGATAGTTATAAGCCCCTAAACCTCATCCGCAAGCCATTCATTTTGCTACTAATTCTTTTCACTTTCATACGCTAGACTATGCCTTTACATGTGCTATTCTGTTTAGATCACACTTTTTTTTTCTTAAGAAAGTAATTACTTTCAGTATACCAGTTATAGGACTCCTTTCTTGGCCATAGTTAATAGCGTCCTTCATTCTACTCTCATATTATGTTGCATGTGACATAATTATAGAATATACTATCTGTATTGATTTTACAGTCTGATTTTTCCACTGGACCAAGAGTTCATTTGGGGCAGTAACTTAGACATATTTGTAATCCTGCCTTGCTTATAGTGAGCAATTTGGATTTTTTGAATGAAAGTGTAGTCTTCCAGAGATGACGAATAGCAGGAGATGGTTAACAGAGGCTGGGAAGGGTTGCGGGTAGGGGTGGGGGCGGGGGAGGGGGGAGTTGGGATGGTTAATGAGTACAAAAAAATTGAATAAGAAATAGTGTAGTATTTGATAGCACATCGTAGTAACTACGGTCAATAATTGTACATTTAAAAAAGAATATAACTGGATTGTTTGTAACAAAGGATAAATGCTTGAGGTGATGGACATTCCATTTACCCTGTTGAGATTATGCACTGCATGCCTGTGTCAAAACATCTCAGGTAGCCCATAAATGTTTAACACCTGCTGTGTACCCACAAAAGCTTTAAAAAACTAAACCATTAATACATGATTAACCTGGAAAAAAAAAAGTGTAGTTTTGTTCCTGAAGTAGGATTTTATCATATTCTTTGTAATTTCCAGGCTTCCCTGAGCTGTAGCTCAGTGGTTCTTAGTTTTAGGTACACATTAGAATCACCTGCAGCTCTTTTCAAATTTTCGCTCCACAGCTGGGCCCCAGGCATCAATGTCTAAAGCTCTCCGGGTGATTCCAGCTTGCCTCAAGGGCCCTTCCAGCGGCTCCAAGGCCGGCTGGTGTGCGCTCAAGCTGTCGAGAGTCGGCCCAGCTGCAGTTAATACGTATGTATCCTAGGCTCTTCTCTCCTTCCAACGCAAATACGCGCCCAGACGTTGCCCGGAACCGCAACCCAGTGCTCAGAATCAAACGGCGCCTCACTGGCCAAAATTTCAGAATTAAATTCCCGAAAGTGGATAAGCGGAAGCGGAAATAAGCCAGAAGATACAATTTAGTCCCCGAGACGGCTGGGGACTGGGCACCAGCATCAGAGAGACACATTCCGTGCGGACGGCGCTCCCATCGGATGACTGGAGGAATGCAACACCAGACGCAGGCAGTACTTCAGGGTGATCATAAGTCTCCCAGACATCTACAACAACCCGTTCTCCCCGCTAAGGCGACCGCGCTGCCATGTTGATTCTTGTTAGCCACGCGAAGTTTGCGTTTGCACAGATTTTCGTACGTCATATTATAGCGCGCCGGGCGCGGAGACTTCTGGGAGATGAAGTCTTTGCGAAGGCAACGCATTGATTGGGAGGGCGGGCTCGAGGACCCTTTGCGCAGGCGCATTGCTTTCCCGACCTGAAGAGACGCCGTCTTCCCAGGTCCCGAGCACTCTGTGCCGGAGGTGAGGGTTGTGGGTGTGTGTTTTCAAGGAGCGGAGTGAGCGCAGCAGCCGAGAGAAGGGGATGTGAGAACCGTGGGGAGGTGTTGTGGGAGCAGAACGGGGTGACACGGGCGAGGCTAGCCTGCAGAGCGTGTGTCGCGACGTCCCAGTGCGAACGGAAAGTTGTGCACCCACCCCTGTGTGTGCATGTGTCCCGTGGGGTCTGGGCACCCATTGTCTGTCGGGTCCCGGACTTTTAGGTTGGAAGTTTGGAGTCTTCCTCTGCCCCTCCCATTCCCTCTTTCCATATTGGGTGCTTAATGAACGCGGGCGGAGTTGACACCAAATCTAGGGTGCCACCCGCTCCCTCTTTCCCAGAAAGCTCCTCAGATTGCCTAATTCAGCTCCCTGCCCTGGGCCTCCGCATTGGTGCTGGAGGGCTTCATGGAGGAGGAGGGCTTCATGGAGGAGGATGGATTTGAAGTGAAAAAAACACCAAAGCAGCAGCTGAGCGTTAGGCAGATTTGAGCTGGAGATAATTTTTTACAGAAATGCAGGAACAGTGGTAGACAAGGTTGAAGAAAAGATACGCTAGGAGCCAGGGCCCGGGACTCAGAATCAGGACAACACCCAGTAGGCAAGGTGGCTTGTATAGATGTGATCCAGGAACTGACACTAATCAAACTATTTGGGGACAGTTATTCGAGAGGTGACATTCAGGACCAGAGAGACGAAAGGACCAGTAGCAGAGCCAGTTAGAAATGTATTGTAGTTTTGAAATAAGCTGTTGTGGACTTGAATTATGGTGGTGGTAGTGAAAGGGAAAGATACAAATGACATTGCAAAAAAAGAGTCAAAAGAGCCTGGTGACTAGATTTGGGAGGAAAGAGTGAGGTAAGGGTTTGAATTTGGGACACCTGGGAGAATAGTAAAACATCTGATACAAATGTAAAGCCAGGGAGAGGCGTTGATGTGGGGAATTGCCCAAAGATAGTTTTCAGGTGATGGCAGAATGCCTAATTCAAGGTTTGCAGACATTTGGAAATGCAGGATGAGGATGGAGGAATGCAATACAGTTGTATCATAAAATTGTAATACAATTGTATTGTAAAATTACAGTACAATTACTGGACATGGGGACCACCTCTGTAGAATTGGAAAATGGAGCCCTGAATGTGGATGTACTTTCTGAGGGATGGCAAAAAGAAGAAAGTACAAAGACTGAGCCATGGACAGCATCCATGTTTCCAGGGCAAAAGTGGGGAAAACGAGTCAAAGAGATACAGCAATTTTAGTGGCTGGAAAAAAGGCTAGTGTAGTATCATAGCAGTTACAGTAACCGCTCAAACAATCAGAAGCTTGTCAGAACAGTGAAACGCTGCAGAAATAGAGATAAGATCAGAAACGCATCGGTAGGCTGGGCGCGGTGGCTCCCGCCTGTAATCTCAGCACTTTGGGAAGCCTGGGTGGGCAGATCACCTGAGGTCAGGAGTTTAAGACCAGCCTGGTCAACATAGTGAAACCCCATCTCTACAAAAATACAAAAAGTAGCCGGGCATGATGGCAGCTGCCTGTAATCCCAGCTACACGGGAGGCTAAGGCAGGAGAATTGCTTGAACCGGGGAGGCAGAAGTTGCAGTGAGCGGAGATCATGCCATTGCACTCCAGCCTGGGCAACAAGAGTGAAACTCCGTCTCAAAAAAAAAAAAAAAAAAAAAAGAAGAAGAAATGCATTGATAGTTTTCAAGCATGCCATTTCAGATGTGAGGGTCAAAAGCTGAAAAACGGACTGGAGAAGAGTAAGTGGTGACGATGTGGCGTCCGTATGTTTGTATTACTCTCTCAAAAGTTTGAAAAGGAAAGCCTAAATGAGAACTGTTTTGCTAGAAAGTGGTCATGGGATTCAGTGAAAATGGTTTCAGATACAGGAGGCTTGTATGTCTTTGAAGATGTCGAAAGAAAGTGCTAGTTGGGTGGAAAATGCTGAAAAAAAAGACTGGGAAGTGTGGGGACAAATTCTGAGAGGAAGCAATAGTGAAAAAAAAAGTAGAACATAGGGTGTAGGACACAAAGGTAAAGTCCTGGAGACAGACATTCTGTCTTGGGGACCTCACACATCTTGCTGCCTAGCATATAACAGCTACTTGATACCTACTCATTGAATAGTGGGATGAGTGGATGGATTGCATTGGGCAGTGGAAAAGAAGAAAACTTTTATTTGTTGAATGAATTGTATGATACATGCTTTATATTAATGGTCTCACCATTTATAACTACTCTGTGAATTAGGTATTAAACTACTGTGGGTCAACTATTGGCTTAAGTAACTCACCTAAGGCTTCATAGTTAATCATTCCATGCCTGTGGAATGCTTTCTACCATATAGCCCTGCTTCCCTTAAAATTCATTCCTAGGAATCTTCGGTATAGTAGAAGACAAAAGTTGTAAGGAAATTGAATGGTAGCCATGGAGGTTTGGAATAGCTATGTAGAAAAGAAGAGAGATTTGGAGTAGCTGTGTAGCTAAGATGGGAGTCATAAAGGCTTTTTGGACAATGTCAAGGGCTCATTTGAAGATATAGACTGAATTTAGAGGACATTTCTCCAGTGATACTCAGATCCGAAGGATAGGAAAAGAACACAGAAGAGGAGGTGATTCTTGGTTGGCAGTAACTCCGTGTGAGTTTAGTGGACTTGGAAAGTCTTCAGTGTCAGTGGGCTTACTGAAGTGACTGCGAGTGAAGTCTACGTGACAGAGAACCTATGGATGAGGAACACTTTGGGAATATCGACTGGTTGTTTAATACCTGGGGAGCTTATATGCTCACCACCATTTGTAATTTGTTCAGTCCTCAGTTTAATTAAAGTGGTAATCTAATAAAACTTTGAAAATTGTCTTTACACATTTAACACTGAGCAGCTTCGACTGCAGTTTCTGATATGGTTTGATTTGTTCAAAAAGCTCCAGTGCTTTAGGACAATATACAAATACTTTGACTCCAGTGTTATCACTACACTTAAACCTACTCTAAAATAGCAACAACTCAATGTAATATTTTCATTATTTCTACCTTCCTAGAATTATAACATTTTTACTGATTACATTAGTTTATATTAACTTTACTTAACACATTATTCTAAATGCGTTAGTTACATGTATTACCCTATTTAAGCATCAAGATGACTGCATGAAATAGGTACTTCCATTATTCCAGTTTTGTAAACGGGCAGACTGAGACAGAGGTTACGAAACTTTCCTGCAGTAGCACCGGTAGGAAGAGGCAGTACCCTCTTGGGATGGAGGAATCTTAACAGACGAAAAAGGAAAAGAATACTCTTAACATGAGCCAAGTGTGGTGGTTCACAGCTCACACTTATAATCCCAGCACTTTGGGAGGCCAAGGTGGGCAGATCATGAGGTCAGGAGTTTGAGACCAGCCTCGCCAACACGGTGAAATCCCGTCTCTCCTAAAAATACAAAAATTAGCTAGGCATGGTGGCAGGCACCTGTAATCCCAGCTACTGAGGAGGCTAAGGCAGGAGAATTGCTTGAACCCAGAAGGCAGAGGTTGCAGGGACCAAAGGTGGTGCCACTGCACTCCAGCCTGGGTGACAAAGCAAGACAGGCTCTGGTTATCAATTGATGACACGTCTTTGTTTCTGTTGATGACATGTCTTTGTTTCTGTTTGTGTTTATATCACTCTGCCTCCTCCCAGCAAGATTCAAATCTTAATCTCTCCCCCTTCCCCCGCCCCCCCCGTTAGGTTGGGGGGTGTTTTTTGTTTTTGGCTTATACTTAGCTAAACTTGTTTTTCCAATAAGTTTTTGCTTTTCATGTAGTTCTTACAAATTGGTATTCACCCTCAAGGTAATATTCTTTTAAAATTTTGCTTGGCCAGTGTGAACTCATTGTTAAATAACTCTGAGCTGTCTGGTAACTTTTAACTCTATGCTATAATGATTTATTTTCATGAAAAGATAGCCACATCGGTAACAGACCAACAGACTAGAGCAGAAAATCCTGAAGCATCCAAGAATATGATAGGCCTGTTACAGAATAGAGTTAAACGCTGCCAGACTGGTAAATATCTATTGATCTGGTCTTCAACATTTTTGAAAACTTACTTGTTCCTTATTTCTATCTTATGATTAATAAGTTTAGCTGTAGGGCTCATCTCCTAAGGGAGAAAGGATGAAGTCTGCACAGTTACCGTGCCTCTTTGGAGCCAGAGGTTGGTTCATTGTTAGTAACACCTATTCTTCTTTCTACCTGATAATTACATGTGGCCCCAGTAGTGATTAGTCGTCTCCCTTTGGGGTATGTAGTTCTGTGTCTGGAATTACCTGGTTTATTTGCATTAGAAATTTTTTTTTTTTTTTTTTTTTTTTTTTTTGAGACGGAGTTTCGCTCTTGTTACCCAGGCTGGAGTGCAGTGGCGCAATCTCGGCTCACCGCAACCTCCGCCTCCTGGGTTCAGGCAATTCTCCTGCCTCAGCCTCCTGAGTAGCTGGGATTACAGGCACGCACCACCATGCCCAGCTAATTTTTTTTTGTATTTTTAGTAGAGACGGGGTTTCACCATGTTGACCAGGATGGTCTCGATCTCTTGACCTCGTGATCCACTCGCCTCGGCCTCCCAAAGTGCTGGGATTACAGGCTTGAGCCACCGCGCCCGGCCTGCATTAGAAATTTCTTTTTACATACTTCTATCAGTAGATACAAGTATATATTTCAAGGGTACATCTATACTTTATGAATAGTCATACAATTAATAGAAAAAAATGCCTTTTTATATAACTAAAGTCTCAAACATTGCCTTCCTTATAACCTTTTATGGCATATTTTATATTGACTTTTCTATTTTGAGTATGAAATGCATAGCTTTTTAAAGTTCAAATTATTTTATTTAACAGTAATAATTTTTATTATTTATCTGGCTAGTGGGAGCCAGAGTCATCTGAGTTTTCTTATTTAAAGATGTGGGGTCAGCTCAAATTCTGAATGTCCAAAACTGTACTCATTGGTTTTCCCTTCAGTCCTCCTTCTCTGTTGCTTATCTCTGTGAACGACATCGTCATCCACACTCCATCGGTAACCTGGGCGTCATCTTTGCTCTCATCACCTTCGGCCTCTTATTCCGGCCAGTATATTGTCTGTTCTTAATAGCTTGACAGCAGTTTCCTCTATTTCTGCTTTCACAGCTTTCACTCAGTTCGTCGTCTTTCTTATTACAACAGTATCCTCACTAGTCTACTTACCTCCATTCTTTCCTTCCTGTAATCCCATCACACAACAGCCACTCACTGTGGTGTGGCCACCTGTGTTGGGATCCCCAGGATCACCCCAGGTTTAGGGATTTACTAGAAGGACTCACAGCTTGACCTGTAGTTGTATTTCTGGCTAAGAGTATGCTGATGATCCTGCAAGGATATGCAGCCAGATCATAAGGGGAGAAGACAGGCCAGGTAAAGGAATCCATATATAGGTTTGCATCTATTCTCTTTCTCCCATAAGATGTCACACAGAGCACACTTTTTTCTCCAGCAATGAAAATACAGCAATGAGTGTGATGTCTCTGCTCAAGGAAGCTCATTGGAGACTCAGAGCCCATGTTTTTTTTATTGAAGGCTGGTCACATAGGCACCGTCTGCCTCACACATACCAAAATTCCATACCCTCCAATAGGAGAGCAGATGTTCACCATAAACCACATTGTTTCCACAAATTAGGCATAGTAGACCACCATTATCTCTTAGGGATCTGGGGAACCCTCTCAAAATCGAAGTTTCTAGCTGCCAGCGAAGGGCCAGCATGCATGCAGAACTTTCTAGGAATAGCAGTCTCTGGTCTACTATAACTTTTCTGCACATCACTCTCTTTCCTTCCTGTTATTTTTTCTGTACACCAAGATAAGGACATACTCTTGTTGAAAAAACATATATAAAAAATGGTAAGAAAGTAAAAATCACTTATCTCACTACTCAAATATCATTTCCATTTTAGTATTTCCTTTTTCTATAATTATGTGCATGTACAAATATGTAATTTTAAGACTGTGCATTCTTATTTTTTGAAATTCTTTGTGGGTTTTTTTTTTTTTGAAATGGAGTCTCACTCTGTTACCCAGGTTGGAGTGTAGTGGTGTGATCTCAGCTCATTGCAACCTCTGCCTTCTGGGTTCAAACAATTCTCCTGCCCTAGCCTCCAGAGTAGCTAGGACTACAGGCATGCACCAATATGCCTGGCTAATTTTTGTATTTTTAGTACAGATGGGATTTCACCATGTTGGCAAAGCTGGTCCCGAACTCCTAACCTCAAGTGATCTGCCTGCCCAGGCCTCCCAAAGGCCTGGGATTACAGATAGGTGCTTGGCCGTTCTTGCTGGTTTTCAGTTGTTGATTTTTTGTTTTGTTTTGTAAGAAACAAAGCATTACAGATAAAGCTGAAGTCTCCTGGGTATCCCTCCCCAGTTTTTTTTCCCCCTCTTCTCAGATATGTACACATTTGGTGCTTATTGTCCCATATGTTAATAGATTTTTGTGGGTGTGATCTACCTGTTGTTAAATTTTATGTAAATATTATACAGTAAGTCATCCTATAACTTATTTTTTGCTCAGTAATTATTTTTTTTGCAATTTATCTCTGTCAACATGAGATAATGTATAATATTTGTATATGTGTATATATTCACAAATCCGTTATCTGATTAATGGACATTGAAATTGTTTGCAGTTTATCACTAGTGATCTTCTCCCCAGGGACTTTTAATGCTACCTCAGTCATATATCAGGCTTCCCTAATGCTTGGCTGTGTTTTGGGATTTTCTGTTCTAGTCTATTGGTCTGTAACTGATGTGGCTATCTTTTCATGAAAATAAATCATTATAGCATAAAAGATAAAAGCTCCCTGGCAGACCTAGGTTCAAGTTCTACCTCTGCTTCTTACAAAGCCTTAATTTCCTAATCTGTAAAATAGTGCCTACCTTATTGATTTATGAGGATGAGGTTAAATTAACCTTATAAAAAGCACTTAGCACAATACCTGGCAAATAGCAAATGCTCAATAATGCTAGTTGTTATTAAGATGATGTTTAGGCCAGGCATGGTGGCTCCATGCCTGTAATCTCAGCAATTTGGGAGGCCAAAGTGGGCAGATCACCTGAGGTCAGGAGTGCGAGACCAGCCTGGTCAACATGGTAAAACCCTGTCTCTACTAAAAATACAAAAAATAGCTGGGTGTGGTGCTGCACACCTGTAATCCCAGCTACATGGGAGGCTGAGGCAGGAGAATTGCTTGAGCCCAGGAGGCGGAGGTTGCAGTGAGCTGAGATTATGCCACTGCCCTTCAGCCTGGGCAACAAGAGTGAAACTCCGTTTAAAAAAAAAAAAAAGATAATGTTTAATAGTGTTACATTGTATATGTGGACTGGACCATAAATTATTTAACCAAATCTCCAGATGTTTAAGGTATTTCAAAATTTAATCTTTTCAAATTATTGAAAAGATTAAATGAGATAATACATGTAAACTGCTCAGGAAGTGCCCTGGCACAAAGCTGTCAATAAAGATTAGGGTTAATGATGAGTCATAAAAAGCTTTGTATATATTATTACTTATTTCCTTAGTATAAATTCCTAGGAGAGAATTGTTGGGTCAAACAGTATGTTTCAAGGCCCTTGCTACAAGTCGCAGCGATTTTCCTAAAGCACAGATGTGGGTAATGACATGTCCATGCCCAGCACCTTCAGTAATCTCCATGCCTGTGGAGAAAGACATGCAGAGCTCTCCTCAGTGAAACTGGCCGCTGCCTACTTCTCCAGCCTCATTTTCCCCACAGCACTACTCACAGCCTAGACTTCCACCATTCTAAGCTAATTTTTTAATGTTAGTTGTTAATCCTTTCCATGTAAAGACCTGCCTCCTCCTTTTTGAAAAACTTGAGTGTTTTTATTCCTCAACACGTTTTTTTCCTCAACATTTAGAATGTTCCAGCTCCTCCCACAAATGAAAACTTAGCTTAGATCCCACTCCTGTCGAGAAAGCTGCAGTGTTGCACCCTCCATCCCTTCCTGCTGGGTTAGGTGAGCCTCTGAGGTGTTCTCATGGATTGCTGTACATATCTCTGCAGCACTTACCCATCCTGGAGTGAAATATTATTTCATTTACTTGATTGTTCTGTCTGCTAAGCCAAAGCTTCTGGAGGACAAAGACAGCATCTAACAGGTTTTCTTTGGTGCTTGGCATAAGTAGTTGGTGCTGAATAAATGCTGGTTGAATAGAAGGATGAGTAAGTCACAAGAATCAATGACCATATCCCCTTGAGTGTAGGAGAATGGTCAGTGTACCACAAATATGCTTTTTCTTCCTCCTCACCAGGACCACCCCATCTCCTAGCCACCATAAATCCCAGAAATGTGTGATTTAATGCTCTCGTCTTATTTTTACAATTTGTATTTTTGTAGAGACAAGGGTCTTGCTATATTGCCCAGGCTGGTCTCAAGAACTCCTGGCCTCAAGTGATCCTTCCACCTCGGCCTCCTAAAGTGCTGGGATTACAGACATGTGCCACCATGCCTGGCCTGTTGTTTTAATTAGACTTTTAGTTGTGAAAAACTGAGACTTACCTAATCCCAGTAAAGGGAATTAGTGATAAGGTCTTGCACAGAGCCCAAGATTAGTTAGAGTCTCATGGCAATCTATGAATAAATAAGGCTGGTGTGCATGGAAATGGGAGCCCGTGGGTGGTGCTAGGCGAGGTGGGAGCCTCCCCAGGAATTCTTAGGTCTTTGCTTCAGTGTTTTACCACCAATAGGACTGTGCTTGGCTTCCTTCTGCCTGCTTCTGGTCCCATGGTCTATTATTACCTTTTCTCTACCTTGTACCTCCCACATGCCCACAGGTTCTGCTTCTGGTTAACTTTGGTTCCCCGATCCTCATGGTTACTTTGGAACTTCATGATACTCTCAGCTCATCACCCAGTTGTCCTGACATTTCTTAGTTCATTTCCAAGGAAGGATGTCATCTTTTCAAGCCAGGTCACATCTCAGTCTACTAGTCACCTACGCCTTGCCCACCTGAGGCCTAATCAGTGTGGCTCCAGGAATGAGACACACGGTCACGTGGTACAAAACAAAAATACCCCACTCATAGGTCCTTTGGTAACTTTCCTTTGAAGAGACTAGACTGTCTTTGATGTATCTTGTCCAGGTAGTCATTTACAAAATTGCTTATGGCTTTTGCCCAGTAATGATTCAGGGTAATATTGAATGTGAGTTTATACATACTGTATGAATTTTACACAGTTCTTGACTTAGGAATAGAACTCTGCCTCTAGTGTCATGGTAAAACAAGCACCACATTGTGGTCTAATTCACAATTCCATGGTTGTTGGTGCTAATTCTGGGGGGTGGGGGCCTGGAGTTGTTCCTGGCCTTGCTTTACTTTGACGCCCTTTTGTAAGGTATTGAGAATGACATATCCCCCTGGTGTGTGCTTCATGGGTCAAAACACTATGTGATAGGACTGGTCTTTCTCATACCTTCTTTCTCACCCCATACTTTTGCCTCATTAGGACTCTGCCCTTGCCTACAAAGAGAGCACACAGGAGAGAATGGCTGCTGTGTCTCTGACCACCAGATGCCAGGTGAGGTGGACTTTTGTGTTTCCAAAATACTCCACTCATCAAAAGAAAAACCACTTTTGTTCCTCTATCCTGGAACCTCTTTGACCAGACCCAGCCAGGCAGATGAAGGACTTCATAGGGAGTACTTCCTTCCCATTTGACTTGAGGTGTCCTTCAGTGACCTTTTCTTGCCTTGAACATGTGTCCATTAGCTTGTCACCAGGCTTACAACTGTTGGAGCCTTCACTGTGAGTGATTTTGCCTAGAAGCCAATGGTAGGGTCTGATTGGAAGGTTTGGGGAATAGTGGGCTGGTTCTGAATGTCCCTTTGGGACATTCATGTGTGGACTGAGAAGAGGCCCCAGTGTTCCAGGGAGTATGGTCTAGGCTGGGGCGTGTAATACACGCTGTAGAGCACCTCTGTGGGGGTGGTAAGAACCCTGAAGAGTCTCATGTGCTAGAGACATGTGGCTTGTTCCATTCCTGCCCAAGGGCAGAGTTGTGAATTCTGCACCCTGGCCTAGAACTTCTGTGGACACACAGGAGACTCATCTGAGGTTTTAGAAGTGGAGGTACAGAGATGCAATCTTATAGAATCACAGAGCTTTAGAATGAAATGAGAGGGATCCTACAGATGATCTGATCAGTACCGTTATTCTAAGGATTTGTAAACAACAAAGACAATTGGTGAAATTTAAGTAAGATTGTAGATTAGATAATAATAGTATAAAATCAGTGCTATTTTCTCCTAGTTATACTGTGATTATAACCACAGTATGTCCTTGTTTTTACAAAATACACACAAATATATAGGATTAAAGACACATGATGTTGCCAAGTTCGCCAAGAGGTTTAGAAAAAAGATAAGAGGCTGGGCGCGGTGGCTCACGCCTGTAATCCCAGCACTTTGGGAGGCCGAGGCGGGTAGATCACAAGGTCAAGAGATCGAGACCATCCTGGTCAACATGGTGAAACCCCGTCTCTACTAAAAATACAAAAAATTAGCTGGGCATGGTGGCACTTGCCTGTAATCCCAGCTACTCAGGAGGCTGAGGGAGGAGAATTGCCTGAACCCAGGAGGCGGAGGTTGCGGTGAGCCGAGATGGCGCCATTGCACTCCAGCCTGGGTAACGAGCAAAACGTCTCAAAAAAACAAAAGAAAAAAGATAGGAGAATGTGCATCTAGAAAGAGACAGAAAGATAAAGCAAATGTGAAAAATGTTGCCATTTAGGGGAGCCAGGTGAAGGGTACACAGGATTTCTTCTGTGCTGTTTTTAGAAGTCTGAGAGAAGCGTCTGATATTCAGAAACTCAGCTGTAAGTACACTGGTGTGAGATTCTGACCAAGAGCTTCATGTCTTGGGTGATTAGGCCACTTTTCCCAAGTGCTTTAAAGCTCTACTCAGTCAGAACTATTTTTCTTCCCTCCCACCATGCATCCTCCAGGGCTGTCATCTTTGACATTTTTGGTCTGGTCCAAGTAAAGAGAAGGGTTAAGAGTAAGGGAGAAGGTGATTGTATTTTCAGGAATCAGTGACATTCGAAGACGTGGCCGTGGTTTTCACAGATGAAGAGTGGAGTCATCTGGTCCCCATTCAGAGGGACCTCTACAAGGAGGTGATGCTGGAGAACTATAAGAGCGTTGTGTCACTGGGTAAGGGGAGCCTCCATGAGGAGGTACGTTCTGTATTATGCTAATGTGGGGCTGAGAGGGCTGAGGAATAATACCTTTCTTCTCCCTCCTGAGTTCTGAGTCACCTGAGAGACAAGGTAATATAAGGGTAGCCGAGAAAAGGGGAATAGACCCAAAGTCCGGCAAGAAAGTTTATTAACCTGCCGGGCTGCTCAGAGGAGGCAGCAGCCCCGAGCTTACAAATGAGTGGTTTATATGGGATAAGGGGACCATAAGGGGGTTTCAGGTAACAGGCACAGAGATAGTTTGTTAACTTGCAACAGACCTACAATACATCATCCTGTGACTTTTGTGGCGGCAGTCTTTTAAAAAGACTGAAACCAGAATCTTTTACAGGTGGGTGTCAAGCAGGAATTGCCGTCCTGATAGCTGTAATTAGGCTTTGCTTAATTGTAGCACGTCTGGCAGCCTTGATGTGGTGCCTAGGTAGGGATTCAGGGGTTCAGGAATGCAGCTGCGAGGGGGTGGTGGTCATCCTGTGCGGAGGGGGTTTTCTGAAGCAGCACAGCTCCATCCCTAACAGGTAAGAGTCAAAAGGTGTGGCATTAGAGTACAGCAACACAAGGCTCCATACTGAACCCCAGCATTGGACAGACATGCCTCCCCAGCGTGGGCAGTGCTGGACAACCATAGGCTCTCTCACTCAGCAACCTGCCCCGGCAAAATGGAGGGAGGGTCAGTGAGGGCTGAGGGATGGAGCAGAACGTGTGTTAGACGCAGGGAGCTGGCTCTCCATAGGGGCGGGCAGAAGAGGCTGAACTCCATATGGCCAGTCCTTCTCCCAACTCGCCAGCCAGGTAACTCCGCAGCCGGGTAACTCGGCTCACCCAGATGAGTGTGCACTGGGGCAGGGGGCCATCTTGTTGGAATACAGGGTTATGCCTCTGAGGTCACCAGAGATATGTTTGATTTTGAATATGTCTTAGGTACAGTCTTAGATGCTCACAGAAGACACTTTGTAATTATAGAGACTTGTGTGACAAAGAGAAAGTTAAGAGTCACTGCTGATTCTGGTGTTAGTGAAAAGTAAAGTTGGGCTCCTGGAGGTTATAAGAACTTGAGCTTCACAAGCAGAGTTGGAGAAGCTGAGAGAGTGCCCAGATTGAGAACCTGGCTTAAAATAAGCAGCAGATGGCAGCAAAAGAAGTCACATTGCAGATTTCATACAAGGCAGGTCAAAAAGTAAGTGCTAACACCCCCCAGATTAACCTAATAAGGCCCAATTGTCTCCCAAACAGAACTGAATGTTCAGGAGGCATCAAACAAGATGGCTGAGCATCTGTTACAGGCTTTAGCAGATGACATATTGAGGAAAATAGAACCCCTGAGGTCAGAGACAGAGAGCCACAGGGAGATGCTAGGTGTGGCCGTTTTGTCAACGGAGAATTCACGTAAAAGCCAGGGTAGATTGATCCTTGGGCCCAAAAAAAAGTGCCTCTTTCCCAAGTTGGGGCCTCAACGAAAGGGAAGTTTAGAGCCCAAGCCTCTTTCTAGGATCTATTTTTTAATATAACCAAAAATGGATAGATTTACTTCAGGGAATTTATCCTAAGGAAATACCAGGACGGCAGTCCATAGTATGCACAGATGTTCATCACACTGTTGTTTGTTAATAGCAAAACATTAAAAATGCTCTAAATGTCTATAATGGAGTTCATTAAATAATTATGTCATCTCATACAATGTGATATCCTGTAGCCATTACAATGGTGAGGTAGATCAGTGCTGACTGAAATAGTATTTTAAATTTATTCTCATGAAAAAAAGTTTACAAATCAGCATCATTTCATTATTAGTTTTTTGTTTTTGTTTTTGTTTTTGTTTTTTTGAGAAAAGTCTCACTCCGTTGCCTACACTGGAGTATAGTGGTGCGGTCTTGGCTCACTGCAACCTTTGTTTCCTGGTTCAAGCGATTCTTGTGCCTGTCTCCCAAGTAGCTGAGATTACAGGCATGAGCCACCACGCCTTGCTGATTTTTGTATTTTTAGTAGAGGGTTTCATCACATTGGCTGGGCTGGTCTCGAACTTCTGACCTCAGGTGATCTGCCCATCTCGCCCTCCCAAAGTGCTAGGATTACAGACGTGAGCCTCTGTGCCAGGCCTTATTACCTAGTTTTTAACATAATGTATCTATAGCTATCTTTTAATATCATAATTAATAGAAAGAAAATGAATACGCCATATGCAAGCTGATTTTTCTTTTTACTTATATACACTTCTAATTTTCCTAAAATTGTTTTAGGTACAGTCTTACAACCAGGACTTGTTTCAGTGAAAGCATAATGCTCAAGGCAAAGACACAAACAGAAATGGGCAGGTTTGATATACTTTTTTACTCAGTGACTTAATTTCATTCTTATCTCCCCTAAGCCAACGACCTTCATCCTACCAGTGCTAACACCAGGAGCTTCCCATTCACTTCACAGGGCAGAATAAACACGTGAATTCACACAGGTTCTCTCAACTTTCTGACCTTGTGCCACTTGCTCCTTTTATAGCCTCAGTCCTGGCCTCAGTCTAGGGGTTCCTCTGCTTTGGACTCTGCATTCATGGCCTGTGCATTCTGCCTTTTGCATTTTCTTCCTAAAAGATTAGAGGCTGTGGCCAGGCACAGTGGCTCAGCACTTTGGGAACCCGAGGCAGGCAGATTACCTGAAGTCAGGAGTTCGAGACCAGCATGGCCATCATGGCGAAACCCCATCTCTACTAAAAATATAGAAATTAGCCAGGTGTGATGGCACCCGCCTGTAATTTCAGCTACTCGGGAGGCTGAGGCAGGAGAATCGCTTGAACCTGGGAGGTGGAGGTTGCAGTGAGCTGAGATCAGGCCACTGCACTCCAGCCTGGGTGACAGAGCAAGTTGCTATCTCAACAACAACAACAACAAAAAAGACTTAAGAGGCTGGGATTGAGCTTTGGGAGAGTGATACTATTTTCATCACATACAGCCATCTGCTTTGTTTCTTTCTCTTTGAGCAGGCCTTCCAGTTCCTCAACCTGATACGATTTTCCAATTGAAGAGAGGGGACGAGGCATGGATGGTAGATCTTCATGGGTCTGAGGAGACAGAATGGCCAAAGAGTCTCTCTCTAGGTAACTGAGTGTGAACAGGACAGGATGGAGTTTTCTTTGGCTTTTTGTTGGTTATTTGGGTGATGGGGGAAATACCAGGTATCACCTTTCTCTCAAGTTCAAGTCTTCTGCTTTATTATTTATTGTATATCATCCACCAGCTTTCATTTTTTTCCCTCTATATCTTAACATATTATTCATCTATATTCACCAAGTGTTACTTTCTCATGTCTGTAACATTGCCCACTCACACTTTGCTATTTCTATCGAGCACTGTCCTGTCCATTCGGCTTGCTCTCCTAATTGTCCTGGCCATGCTCCCACTGGTTCTCCTGTTTTTTGAGGTGTCCATCATCCATTCTGTTCCCTGCCACCTTCTTCATCCCCAGGTCTCGGTTCTTCCTGCAGCGTAAGACTATCTGTGGGAGCAAGCAATGCAGTGACCATACATTACTTTCAGACTCATTGGAACATCTCTTCCTTCTGCTCTAATTTTAATTTCCTGGCCTAGGGTAAAAAATGGCATCTGTCTTCTGTTTGTTCCAGACTGGGAAACTAAGCCTGAGATTTATGATGCTTCAGAAGAAAAAGCAGAAGGATTGTTGAGGGAAAGTCTTGGAAGGCAAAGTCCTCTGTGTCCTAAATTTGAAGTTCATGCACCCGATGGCAGGATGGGAACAGAAAAGAAAAGCCCTACAGGGGAGACTCATAAGAAATCCCTCTCCCAGGAGAAAGGCTCACGGCGAGTGTCTGCCCTCCCCAAGGAAATTCCCACTAAAGAGAGACAGCAGGAATGCAGTGACTGTGGAAAGACTTTTTTTGACCACTCATCCCTCACCCGCCATCAGAGGACTCACACTGGGGAGAAGCCCTACGACTGCCACGAGTGTGGGAAAGCCTTCAGCCACAGAAGCAGCCTCAGCAGACATCTGATGTCGCACACTGGGGAGAGCCCCTACGAGTGCAGCGTATGCGCAAAAGCCTTCTTTGACCGCTCGTCCCTAACTGTGCATCAGCGAATTCACACTGGAGAGAAGCCCTTTCAGTGCAACGAGTGTGGAAAAGCCTTTTTTGACCGTTCATCCCTTACTCGACACCAGAGAATTCACACTGGAGAAAGTCCTTATGAATGTCATCAGTGTGGGAAAGCCTTTAGCCAGAAAAGCATTCTTACTCGCCATCAGCTAATCCACACTGGCAGGAAGCCTTACGAGTGTAATGAGTGTGGGAAAGCTTTCTATGGTGTCTCGTCACTGAATAGACATCAGAAAGCTCACACTGGGGACCCTCGCTATCAGTGTAACGAGTGTGGTAAAGCTTTCTTTGACCGCTCGTCCCTTACACAGCATCAGAAGATCCACACTGGAGACAAGCCATATGAGTGCAGTGAGTGCGGGAAAGCCTTCAGCCAGCGCTGCCGGCTCACACGGCATCAGCGTGTCCACACGGGAGAGAAGCCCTTTGAATGCAGCGTGTGTGGCAAAGTTTTCAGTTCAAAATCATCAGTTATTCAACATCAACGGCGTTATGCCAAACAGGGAATAGACTGAGTTGGGCGAAAGCCTGGACTAGGCAAGAACTTCTGCACAAATTTGAGATAGGTTTCCTCTGTCTTAAAGCCGCTATTTGCTCATTCTACCCACTCTGGCTGCCTTTGTCCAGTCCTGCTTCTGCGCCAGAGTATTTAATAAGCACTCCCTTCCTGCCGTGTTGTAGAACTGTAAGGGAGGCCATGGAAATGACTCTCCAGATTCAAAATTTTGAAGAGGCTTGTCTGACAATAGGATAGATGTTAGGAGGAGGCATACCTCTTGTGGGAACCTAGGCCCTAGGTATCACTGCACTTTAAGTATCTGGAGGGAAAGGCACAACAGCATCATAGCAGCACGTTTTTTTCAGAACAGTTGTTTTGATGGCTTAGTCCCTCTCTCTTGGAGCTTTTTGGGGCACTAACCTTGTTCTCTTGTGTCCCAGTTTTTAGATCTCTTTCTTCCACTGCTAGTAGCTAGCACTTACTGAGTGCTTACAGTGGGGTAAAGACTCAGCTAAGGGTTTTACAGTAAGTAGATTAATTGATCCTGTCACCAACCCTATGAAGTAGGTACTGTTACCATCTTCATCTACAGATGAGCACTCTTGAGGTTTAGGGAAATTAAATCACTTGCCCAAGGTGACCCTGCTGGTAGGAGATGATGCCAGGTCTTGAAAACAGGTCCACCTTCAAAGTCTATTCTCTTTACCATTATGCTTGATTCCTTGTTTTATAATTTATGTGTATTGTCTTCTCAACTAGATTGTAAGCACTTGGAGGTTGACTTACAGGTCTTTGTATCTCACACAGTGCCTTGCTAATAGGTGCTCAATAAATATTTATCTGAGTGAATGACTTTTCTGCTTACCAAATTCTCTCCATTCAAAATACCTCTTAGATTCATATACTTTCTCTGAATTCATAGCCCAGCTTGTACTTTTATCATCCCTAGCTCCCACTCCTGGCAGCAGTAGCTTCCTAATTCCAGTTCCTCCTGCTTTATTACTGAAGAAGGATGTGCTATGATACAGTAACAAGCCCACAGAGAGCTGTGTCTCCCTTAAAACTTGACGGGAACTAATCTGTCTCATTTTACCCTCATTATTTGGAACATCTGGCTTCCAAAGTTACCACAAGGGAGGAACAGAAAGCTAGAGGAATTTGTAGGACTATTTTTTTAGACCCAGGCTTAACATCACTTTTGTCCACATCTAATAAGCCAGAGCCCAGCACCTGGAAGCTAGGAAAGTAAACAAGCACCTGGATAGTTGGTTAATACCAAGAGCCTCTGTCGTGGTTACATTTTGCATATTACTACTTAAGCCAGTCTTTGCAAATGACCCCTTTCTGCCCATCATTGCCTTTCTCAAGACCTAAACTAGCTCCCTGTTTGGTGAAAAATTACCTGAATATTTAAGGTCTGCCTTAACATGATCCCCATTGCTGAACTTTACTTCCTGACTCCCAAAACTCTTCCCTAGGCCCAGTCCTATATTTTTATGTTTATTGAAGGGTAGGCACTAGATGACCTTGACTCTAGGCATTTGCATTCTTTTGCTTTTTGCTTAGGGTGAAGCTCAGAAAAGGACTTGGTTCTGAAAGGCTGTCTGGAATTAGATTGTTCTCTGTGAATCCCAGTGGATTGAGATGAATTTCCTCTGGAAGTTCAAGTCAGATTTCAGAAGCTGAATGACCAAACAGACCCTTCCCAACCTACTAACAACCCTATTACTCTGTTCACCCTAGAGCAGATAAATGGCAGGGAAGACTTGATGTGTGGACTTTTGAAAGCAACTTGAGGAAAAACACGTAACAGAATCTATGGGTGTGGATAATATGTGATACTGCTAAATGTCAAGTAGAAAATAAAGGAGACTTGGCAAACTTTTGGCTGATGACTGTCTCTGGGAGTTCTGAATTAAAAAAAAAAAAAATTGAAGGTCAAGTATTTTCCTAATACATTCTACCACTTTCAGCAAGATAAGATTGGAACAAATTCAGGATTCCAATGGACATCTTTTTTACTCAATTATTCGTAGAAAAGATAATGGACTTTGAGCACAGTAGTAATGGAAACAGTGGGGATATGAATTTGACAGTTTTCCCTTTATAGATTTGGTGATCAGAGGTTTTTTTCTTTTTTTTTTTTTTTTAATGTGGAATACTTCCACTTCCTTCTAAAAACACAAAAGGGCTGTTTTACCTTTTAATTGATATATCCCAATATGGCATGCAGTAATGGAGACCATAAATTTTGAGGTTTTGGCTTCACCCAGTAGCCATTAGTAGGATCAAATGTTGGAATCAGAAATTGATCAAATTGGAAGAATATCACCATTCTTAAGGTGTAAAGCAAAAATGACTGGATAGTGTTTGTAGGGGTTTGAGCCTCAGAGAAATGAAATAATATCACTGATGACAAGCTTTAAAAGGAGTTTCAAAGAAATGAAATAATATTACTGATGACAAACTCTAAAGTTTAAGAAATAATACTACTGATGACAAATAAACTTTAAGTTTTAAGAGAGAATTGAATGCTTACCACACAAAGGCATAGAAGCATTCCATGAAAAAAAAAATGGCTGGCAATGCTAGAGAACCTTGCAATGGTGAGAATATGAGAGATGGAAGAAAGCTGGGCACTGCAGCCTGGCACAGACAATTGGCAGGCCCACCGATCCCAGAAGTGTATCTGGGGTGTTAGGATGCCAGAGTGGCCAGCGGGAGGGTTGGCCAGCTTCTGGGCTCAGGGACACCCACCCCCTCCTCCCCAGGCCTGCATTTCTAAGAATAACCCCCTCTGCAAGTCTTACATAATACATCACACAGCTCAAGAACAAAGCAAAGACCAAGTGCCAGCCATTAGACAAGTATGTTGGTTTTCAATGTCATATCCTGTAGCCATTACAATGGTGAGGTAGATCAGTGCTGACTGGAATAAAATAATATTTTAAATTTACTATGTGAAAAATCAAGTTTACAAATCATCCAGTTTTGTGGGAGGTTTTTTGTTTTTTGTTTTTGTTTTTGAAACAGTCTCACTTTGTTGCCTTGGCTGGAATGCAATGGTGCAATCTCGGCTCACTGCAACCTCTGCCTTCTGGGTTCAAGCTATTCTCCTGCCTCAGCCCCCTGAATAGCTGGAATTACAGGCGCCCGCCACCACACCCAGCTAATTTTTGCCAGATTCTGGAAGTTAACTATCACAGATGTTACAGAAAAGTTCATGAACTGGGGTCCAGTATAGCTACTTTTGTGCTTCACTTTGTTTCTATATTGAAAGATATTTGTAAGTCACTTCTTGGCTGACATGCAGCCATTGATCTGGCTAGCACATAATTTTCTATATGCATTATATTGACCCACTAACAGCAGTGTAAATTTAACTCCATTTAATACACCAGCAATTTACTATCCTGCCACCGAGATATTTAAATTTTTTAAATTACAATCTAATAAAGCAATATTTAAATAATTAAAATACTGAGATTGCTCATTACCTTAATGAGAGTAAGTATCAAAAAGAGAAGGAGGGCTGGGCATGATGGCTCATGCCTGTAATCCTAGCACTTTGGGAGGCCAAGGCAGGTGGATCACCTGAAGTCAGGAGTTCGAGACCAGTCTGGCCAACATGGTAAAACCCCCACCTCTATTAAAAAATACAAAAATTACATGGGTGTGGTGGTGGGCACCTGTAATTCCAGCTACCTGGGAGGCTGAGGCAGGAGAATCATTTGAACTCAAGAGGCAGACGTTGCAATGAGCCAAGATCGCACCACTACACTCCAGCTTGGGCAACAAGAGAGAAATTCCATTTCAAAAAAAAAAAAAAAAAAAAAAGGGAAGAGGAGAAAAACCCAATATGTAATGTAATCAAGTTGGTCATTGCTATGGGCAATGAGTCTTGATCCCATTGAGACCTGAATCATACTGACTGAGCCTCAGGATTTTCTGCTCCTGATATGGAAGTGGGGGCATCTATAGGCCAGCTCCCACCCACATTGGTCAAGGATTGCTGCATGAACACCATTGACATCTGTAGTCATCCCCTACTGCAGGTTTGGAGAAACTCTGGGGAAAGGGAGCAATGTGAGGGATAGCTGAGGTGAGGTGTAATCTCATTATACCTGTGTAAAGTTGTTTGCTGCAACAGGCATGGGATAAAATTTGAGTCATGAGACCACACTGGGATATATTGAGCTTGAGATGCTTGTGAAATATCCAAGGCATATGGCAATGTAGAGTGGACAGCTCTGTAGATACTATGTGAAACCATGTGAGTGGAAGGAAATCACTTAGGAAGAAGGGGTAATGTAGGAAGAGACAAGGGTCAAGGACAGGTCCTTCAGGAAGACCAAGATTTAAGGGGTGTGAAGACAGGACAAGCCTTCAAAGGAGGAGTAGATGGAGATAGGTAAGAGAGATGCCAGGTGACAGCACTGCCACAAGTCAAAAGAATTTTCAAGAAAGAGGGAATGGTTGGTCAGGTGCAGTGGCTCATGCCTGTAATCCCAGCATTTTGGGAGGCTGAGGCGGGTGGATCATGAGGTCAGGAGTTGGGAGACCAGCCTGGCCAACATGGTGAAACCCCACCTCTACTAAAAATACCAAAAAATAATTAGCCAAGTGTGGTGGCAGGCGCCTGTAATCCCAGCTACTCAGGAGGCTGAGGCAGGAGAATCGCTTGAACTTGGAAAGGCAGAGGTTGCACTGAGCTGAGATCATGCCACTGCACTCCAGCCTGGGCAACAAGAGCAACACCAACCGGAAAAAAAAAAAAAAAAAAAAGAACGGTCAAAAAGCACCCAAAGTTGCTACGTAATAAAGGAAGACAAAGCCTGAGAAGCCTCCACTGGAGTTTATCAGTGACTTTTTTTTTTTTTTTTTTTGAGATGGAGTCTCGCTCTGTCACCCAGGCTGGAGTGCAGTGGCACAATCTCAGCTCACTGCAACCTCTGCTTTTCCAAGTTCAAGCGATTCTCCTGCCTCAGCCTCCTGAGTAGCTGGGATTACAGGTGCATGCCACCACACCTGGCTAATTTTTGTATATTTAGTAGAGAGGGTTTCTCCATGTTGGTCAGGATGGTCTTGACCTCTTGCTCTCATGATCCACCCACTTCAGCCTCCTAAAGTGCTGGGATTACAGCCGTGAGCCATAGCCCCAGGCCTATCAGTGACATTTATCAGTGATATTTATGGAATTAGAAAGATAATGATATATTGCTAAATGATAAAAGCAGATTACAAAAAGTTTGGAACTTGAATACATTTACAATATATTCCCACATATATGCCTAGAAAAAGAAGGAGCAGCCAGGGGTGGTGGCTAGCGTCTGTAATCCCAGCACTCTGGGAGGCTGAGGCGGGCAGATCACCTGAAGTCAGGAGTTCGTGACCATCCTGACCAACATGGTGAAACCCTGTCTCTACTAAAAAAATACAAAACGTTAGCTGGGTTCACATGATTAACTTCTTTCTTTCAGACCTTAGTTTAAACGTCAATTCTACATGACCACTCTTAAGTATCTCCGTGAGGCACTTATTCCAACTCCCACTCATTATTTCCTTCACTGTAATCATCAGCATCTGTTATATTTTGTTTGTTTCTTTGCCATCTGTGTAGTAGAATATAAGCATCATGGGGGCAGGAACTATGGCTGTCTTAGGCATTCGTGTTTCAGTGACTTACTGTGCCCAGAACGTAATAGGCATACTAGATGATAAATAGCTAATGCAAGAATAACTGAGACGTGTTTACTGGTCTAAATGTCTATTTTCCACTTCTAATCTCTATTTCTCTGCCTTTGCTATTTTTTATTCTGTCCCTGTTGTTTTTCTTTTAAGGAGCTACTAATCAATCAGGCAATATTTTGTATTTGTTCTTAACACATACAATACTTACTTTTTTACTGGCACTCAAAGCTGTGGTATCTATTTGCTATTTATTTTAGACTGGAAGACTAGACCTAAGAGCAAGGATTCCACTCAAAGGCAGGATGTTTCTGAAAAAATAAAACCACAGAATACATTAATGAAAAACTCTGAAAAGATTGTCCACTGGGTCCTGCACTTATCTTTGAAAAGCTTGAGGACAGAAAGAAGAAAAACCATTCAGGGGAACATTGAAGAAATCGTCCTCCAAGGAGAAGGACTCAGGCAAAGACCTACTCCTGCCAAGAAAACCAACAGTAAGGGGAGGCACTTTGAATGCAGCATGTGTGGGAAGACCTCATATAACCACATATTTGTCACCTAGCATCAGAGGACTCACAATGGAGGAAAGCCCCGTGACTGTCAAGAACTCGGAAAAGCCTTCAGCTGTAGGAGTCTTAAGAAAAACCTAATGCCAGTTGGCGTGGTGGCTCATGCCTGTAATCCCAGCACTTTGGGAGAATTGCTTGAGCCTAGGAGTTTGAGACCAGCCTGGGCAACATTGCAAGACCTTGTCTCTTATAACATTAATTAAAATTGAAAACAACAACAACAACAACAAAAAAAAACACCTGATGTTGCACACTAGGAAGAGCCCCTTTGAATGCAGTGAATACTTTGTACAGTTGATTAACCCTTTACCGGACATCAGTGAACTCATACTGGAGAAAGTCCTTATGAATGCACAGTGTGTGGGGAATCCTTCAGCTGGAAAGGTATTCTGGCTGGCCACAGCAAACCCGCCCTGGAGGGCAGTCCTAGGAATGCAGGGGTAGGACAGAGCTCTGTTGGACCATTCATCCCTCATTCAACACAGGACTGTGCCCACTGGAGACACATTCCAAAGATAATAAGTGTGGGAAGGTTTACTCTGACGGCTCATCCCTTAATCGCCATCAGAAAATTCATAGTGTAGACAAGCCCTATGAATGCACTGAATGTAGGA